ACCTTTTAAGCCGAAAGGGAAGAAAAGCCATTCTTTTTAAGGCCATATCGGCCTAATTCAGGAGCCTAAGGGCCATTCTATTTTTGAGTTCGAGAAATCAACCTCATTGAACCAAAACCTAAGGGTCATCCTATTACGAGTTCGAACAAGTACTTGCTCAATTATAAAGACTAAACTAGTCCGACTTCGATCAAATTGCCCAAGCCTCATACTTATGAAAATTTTCATGACGCGGTCAAAACAGAGTTTGTACGAGGCAGAAATTGAAATAAAACGAGAAAAGAGATCTTTTATATATGAAAATGTTTACATGGATCGGTTAGGATCCTACACAAAAAATTTGAAAAAGGAAAAAATCCTAAGTGCCTAATTTCCCTCGGGAGCTACACCTTCACCATCGGAATAACCTCCGCTCTCGGATCCACTTACGTTCCCGGAATCATCATCATCGGAAGAGAGCAACCCTTTGGCTTTAGCCTCGAGCTCTTTCGCGTTCCGATCTCGGCAGCAAGGTTAAAGCCACGAGCATGAATCTCCTCAAGAGTCTCTCTTCGAGACTAGAACTTGGCATGCTCGGCAGCCCAGTATGCTCGAGTCTGAGCGGTATCAGAAACTTCCTTTGCTCGAACTTAAGTAGCCTCAGCATTAGCTCGGTAGACGGCCGCGATCGCCTCCGCATCAGCCTATACCTTTTCCGCCTCAGATGTAACCTTTGCAAGTTCGGCAGCCAACCGAGCCTTGAGCTCCTCAATTTTCTTGGCTTGGGCCAAGCTTTCCTCTTTCATACCTTGGAGTTGACGTTCGACCGATGATAGTTGGGCTTGAGCAGCCTCTTTCTCCGAAGCAAGGGGGTCCATGTTTTGTTTCCACCCTAAAGTCTCCGCCCTCATCATAGTGGCCCCCTCACGGAGCTGTTCGATCTTTTCGGCCTTCTGTTGAACGTGGAAGATCGAAGTATTAGTCTTCACCCCCGAATTGATACCACGACTTCTAAAAGTTTTCATTACCTGCTCAATCAGGTCGGTTTGCTCTTTATGAGCCGTGGCCAATTCGGCTTGGAGGTCCTTGATCTCCTCTTCTTTTTGCCCGGTGAGAAGCTTAAGGGCATTTCTCTCCTCCGTGAGCCTTTGAAGATCGGCCTCGCATCGGCTCGGCTTAGCTCTGCCCGGGATTTAGAAAACGCATCCCGATGGAGTGTCAATGCCTATGAAGAAAGAAAGTAAATTAGACAAGAAAAGATACATACAAGTGTGGTATCGACGAGGGGAGTTGAGATTTACCCGACTCATGAGTCGTTGAGCCTCATCAAAGATGCTCGATGCCATCTGACATTCACGTATATTGAAGCAATACAATACTTTCTAGCTTATATTCCTATTCATGAGTTGGTTTGTTTCTTAACTATTTGGGGCACCGATCAGTTCGAGGGTACTTAAGCTCGAGGGCTTAATCACGCTTCAAGACTGGTTTGCTTTATCCCATTGATAATCTATGCTGTTAATCTTTACGTTTATCAATTGGTATTAGGTGAAATCACGTATCCTTAAAACCACATTATAAGTTTAGTTGTTACCCAATTTTTAGGGTAAACACAATTCATCACTAAGATCCTTAATGAAATGCTCCTAGATATTCGTAGAAGAGCACAATCCTTAATTCAACGGTTAATCATGGTTAAATGATATGCATTTTTATTTAATTAATTATTTAGTTAGATGTAAACACTCGATTTGAATAAATATTTACCATTGTCAAAATGACCAAATATTAGCCGACTAAATTTTTTGCTAAAATGTGTTAGTCCTTCGCTCTAATTATCTGTGAATCCTTGAGTATTATATAATCAATCTTGGTCAAACTCTAGTTTTTACATAATAACATTCAAATAATCTCACCGTCGTTCTAAGTGATATTACAAACTTCTACCATATTTAATAAATAATGACCTTTAAGTATTATTTCATTGATTATTAAACTCTAATTGTAATATATTAACCTTCATATAATCTCACCATCGATCTTAACGAAACTTCTTCAATATTTAATCAATAATGACACTGTTAAGGGGCCGCTTATATATTTGGCAAATTATTCTAAAAATAGTATGCGATTGGGGAATAATAGTATAGTTCTGAAAATAGTAGAGAGAAGCTGCTACCATATGCTCTGAACTCAACAATATTAGAAGTATCTCTTGTGTAACGTTAGATGGCAGAGGATTCGATTTTATGGTCAGAGAAAGTCAAAGTATAGTCAATCGAGATAATCACTTTTTCACTCATTAAATTATCAAAAGCAGTTCCAGGTTGTTAAGTCGAGCAAAAAATTAGGTGTACTGTACTGTACTACTATTGCCAACTGCATACTTTTAGGCACCCTTTACACCCCATGGTACAGACTTAGTTTTTTTATAACATAGTAGACTCTATGTATATTAAGTACTATTATATACTCCTATTAATTTAATTTAATTTGAATGATCAGAAGGAATAAAACAAAAGGTACAATATAGAAAGAAGAGGTTATCTGTCTCTTTACAAGTTTGGGGAGCCTGAGAATTTTGTTCATTTAGACTAAATATTAAGTTCAATTAATTGAGGATAACAAAGTACGTTCCCTTATCTCATGGTTAAATGTTCCTAATAATTTGAAATTCCTCTACCTTTAGTCAGAAAGAATGAAGAATCTTTCGATAGAGCTGTTTATCTTATAGTAAGTTTACTCGACATGAATTTAAATTAATGAAAATAGTAAACTTCAAATAAAGAACGATTAAAGATAAAAAATATTTGTATTAAATTAGCAAAAAAATATCTGTCCAGTTATTTGTCAGACGTTTTTTACTAGTTTATTCGACAACCGTCCAAATTCACTTGATACAACCAACGCAGATTTTGGCGAACTTGGTTGCTTATCATATAGTAGTATTAAAAACAACTTTTACTTGAGATTTCTTTTAGTTGAATTTGGAAATTAGTACCCTGATTCATCTCAGCTTTTTAATTTTGATTTTGGAAATTAGTCCATATCAACAGCTCATTATGCCACCAAATTTACCTGTTCTTTTAGGTATATGAAAGAGATGTAAGCACCATTAATTGTAGTTATCACAATTATCGAAGTAGTATTCGAGCTAGTATTTGTACTAATCAAGATCGTTTTGCACTTCATTATTATTATAGCAGATAATAAGAAAGTAAAGTTGGGAGGCCCCAGCTGGGGCAGATGTAATGTATGATTTTACGGATTCATTCGAACTTAATAACTTTGATTTAGATTTTGTATCATGTCTAAGAAATTTACTGAATAAGTAAAACTAATAGATATCGAACCTAATAAAATAAAAAAATTGTGGTAGAATTTTAAACTTAAACCCATAAATTATGGCCCAGAACAGAGGAGTGAAGAGACTAGAGAACAAGCTAGACACGAAGTTCTGCCTGTCTTTGGATTTATAATTAAAACAAAAGAGAGAAAAAAGCAAATTCCAGCTATTCCCACATCAATAATTGAAATTTTAGTAGTAGCATGTGTAGAAGATGATATTTGACTTAAACTGTGGTGGGTACTTTTGGTACTTGAAAGCTCAGTGTCCTGCTACCTTTTTTTGTGGGACCCGCTTTATATATATATA